TTAGGGTAAGCCTGGTCTGAGTTTGGGGCTTCGGGCTTTAGAGTAGGGTTTAGGGCTCAGGAACCCGGTGAACCCCAAACCTTGCATTGGTTCGCATGACTGCAGGCTTGAAGAGGTCCATATTCTGTCACGGGACTAAAGAAGGGACCGTTCTAGGGGACTTAGGTTTCGGGTTTCGGGTTTCGGGTTTCGGGTTTAGGGTTTAGGGTATAGGGACTCTAGAGGTATGTATATTTAGGGGATTCAGGGTCCACCCTAAACCCTGCATGACCCTTATCATCCCTGCACCCGAAACCCTGAATTTACATCCGGAGCCCTAGACCCAAAACCCTACACTTTCTAGCCCTAAACCCTAAACCCTAAACCCTAAACCCTAAACCCTAAACCCTAAACCCTAAACCCGTGGAGTCATAGAATCTTCGGGGCGCAGGGACTTGGGATGATCCTCTCAGGTGCAACAGAGAGGCCAGAGGAGGAGCTTGAAGGCAGCCTGGCTTCAAGTTTAGGGTTTAGGGTTTAGGGTTTAGGTCTTAGGGTTAGGGGGTTTAGGGTTTAGGGCTTAGGGCTTAGGGTTTAGGGCAGAACAGTTGAGGGTTTAGGGTTCAAGGCTTTGGCATTGGGGGTTTAGGAGTTTGGGGTACATCCGAGTCTCGTGGGGTTCATACAGTAGAGTTTCTAGAGGGCTTGGGGGCTTAGAGTTCAGGTCTTAGGTTTTAGGGCTTAGGTCTTTGGTGGTGCGGAGCACGAAGTTTTCCTAAGCCCCTCAAACCCCCACCCAATCGAGTTGAAGACCTCCCCTAAAACCCTAACCCTAAACCTTAAACCCTAAACCCTAAACCCTAAACCCCCGAAGGCTCTTCGGAAACCAGATGGGGCGGCCTCGATGCAGGGCGCCAGCAGCATGGAGGGCATGCCTTGGCCGCTGGGGATTTTAGGGTGGTTTAGGGTTTAGGGTTTAGGGCTTCTGGGGCTTTAGGGGGGTTCTGGGGGGCTTGAGGGGGTTTAGGGTGGTTTAGGGGGGGTTCAGGGGGGCTCAGGGGTTTTAGGGCTTTTGGGGGTTTAGGGTTTGTTTTGTTTTTGTTTCAGGGGCTTCCAGGTTGAGTTTAGGGTTTCAAGGGCTTTGGGTTTAGGGTTCAGGGGTGGTTCAGAGTTTAAGGCTTCCGGGTTCGTCGCTTAAAGGTTTTCGGGGCTGTGCGACGGAAGTTCACACAGGAAGCCTCGGGGGACAAGGCGCAGTATGGCCAACATCTGTAGGTGTCTTGGCCAGCTCTGAAGGGGTGCTTCTTACACAGCCCTAAACCCTAAACCCTAAACCTTAAACCCTAAACCCTAAAAAACCCTAAACTCTAAACCCCCCCCCCCCCCCACCCCCATCTCCAACCCTGAGCCCTAAACCCCAACCCACCCCACACCCCAAACCCTGAAACCCCCCTAAACCCTAAACCCTCAGCCCCAAAGCTGCCAAGCTCTAGACCTGAAAGCCCAAACTTAGGGCTTAGGGCTTATAAGGGTTGAGGGTTAGGGGTTTAGGCTTTTTAGGCCTGTTTATAAGGATTTTCGAGGGCTCTTAGAGTTCGGGGTTAACGGGTTTAGGGTTTAGGGTTTAGGGTTTAGGGTTTAGGGTTTCGGAGTGACGGCCGAGTGGCTGAAGACACAGTCCACCGCTACGTTGACGCAGCCGATGGCCGTGTAGATGGCGCGCTGCATGGCTGCAAGTCCGCACACCTGGGTTTAGTCAGGAGCTTTGAAGGCAAACTCGAGGGTTTCATTCAGATCCCCTAAACCCTAAGCCCTAAGCCCTAAGCCCTAAGCCCTAAGCCCTAAGCCCTAAGCCCTAAACCCTAAACCCTAACCCCCCCCCCCCCTCTCCCCAAAACATGCGAGCCGGAGCCGCCATGAAGCAGAAGATGCCAAGGAGGAGGAAGCCCACTAGCCTCCAGGGATGCCCCCAAGCCTAGAAGGTCTTTATGCAGGGTTTAGGGTTTAGGGTTTAGGGTTTAGGGTTTAGGGTTTAGGGTTTAGGGTTTAGGGTTTAGGGTTTAGGGCTAGGGATGCGGTACCCTGAGGTTGGCTTTTGGGTGCCTTGGTTGCCTGATGCTAGCCACAGCTTTAGGGCCAAACTTCTACAGAGTATGGGGTTGGGGTTGTGAGGTTGTATATAGGGCTTATTTAGGGTTTAGGGTTTAGGGTTTAGGGTTTGGGTTTAGGGTTTAGGGTTTAATGCTTTGCCTAGCGGTTCGAAGGCCAAGCAGCCAACCAGTGAACCCTAAACCCTAACCCTGAACCCGAAAACCTGAAACCCCCAATCGGCCTCGAGATCCAGGCTGCATAGCCTGCCGCGAAGAGCTTGTAGAAGCTGTTGGTGTTCCTGGCCACAAGGGTTTAGTCATAAGGGCTTAGGGCCTAGGGTTTAGGGTTTAAGGGTCCGGGCCACAAGGGTTTAGATAGTCATAAGGTCTCAGGGCAAGGTCGTATGCTGCTTAGGGATTGCTGGAGACTTACCAGGACCCCCATTGACACATAAGCCCTTGACTCTAAACTCTTTTAGCACATGCTGCTTCAGTCTTAGGGTAGTGACATCATCCCTAATCCCTACTGCCTAACCCTAAACCCTAAACCCTTCTAGCACCTGCTGCTTCAGTGCAAGGCGCTGGTACGTCACCATCCCGTCTCCAGACAGCACCTCGCCCAAGAGGAAGTAAATGGAGAGCAGCAGTGTCGCCAGCATCACCTGTCTCATCGAAGTATCCCGAAACCCTAAACCCCAAACCCTAAACCCGGAACCCTAAACCCTAGACCTTAAACCATAAAGCCTCCACCCTAAACCCTATACCGGAACCCATGCGCCCTATAAACCCTGGAGTTAAACTCCCCCCCTCCCCCCAACAAATAAACTCCTCCCCTCCAGCCCAGAAGAACTGCACCTTAGGAACCCAGGCTGTTGACCCTAAACCCTAAACCCTAAACCCTAAACCCTAAACCCTAAACCCTAAACCCTAAACCCTAAACCCTAAACCCTAAACCCTAAACCCTAAACCCTAAACCGGGTGGTCTCGCCTATGTGTCTGCTTTAGGCCAGGGCGCCAGGGCCAGACTAACAATGGCCGTGGGGTACGGCGCCACCCGCAAGAGCATAAGGTAGACATAGCTGAGGAAGACCTGGATGCTGCAACATGAAAGGGTCTAGGGTTTAGGGTTTAGGGTTTAGGGTTTAGGGTTCAGGGTTCAGGCTTCAGGGTTCAGTGATGCTGGAACATAAACTAAAACAATATATGGGGGGGTTCCCGAAAACACTT